GCTGCCCCCAAATCTATCTGCTGCTGCCTCCCCCCAAATCTATAGGCTGCTGCCCCCCTCTCAAACCCTCCCCCCACTTACCTGATCTGTAGGCTGTCTCTGGCTGCATGTGCTGTTCCCCTGCGGTTTCAATCAGCAGAGAGAAGCAGGGATAGATGCAGCTTCCTATCCCTGTCTCTCTCCATACACAACGCCACCTACTGGCCGGCGCCGGTATTGCAGTTCGTTTTAAATCTCACACGAAAAATAGCAGAACAAGCTGAAAAATCCAGGGGGGGGCAAGTGTCCCCCCTTCCCCCCCCTGCGGACGCCCATGCCTACAAATGCCATCTTATGTAGTTTAGATGTGGAAGCTCTCTATAGTTCCATCCCTCACAATTTAGGTATTAAATATACTCAGGAACTTCTTAAATTGGAAACTAATTTACCTGAGGATTTTGTGAATTTTGTGATGGAACTATTAGAATTCATCCTAACTCGGAACATATTTCTTTTCAATGGAAACATTTTCCATCAAGTTACTGGTACAGCTATGGGGACGTCTTGTTTAGGTTGGTGGGAAAGGTACATTAGGACAGACCCCAAGCTAAAATTATACATTGACCGGATTTTCTATTGGAAGAGATACATCGACGATGTCTTTGTAATCTGGCTGGATACAGTAGACAAATTTAATGAATTTGTACAATTACTCAATATCAATGATTTCAATTTACGGTTTACAAGTGAGATAGGGGGCCAATGCCTTTCCTTTTTAGATCTCACACTGCAGATTTCTGTAGGAGGCAAGATAGATACAATGTTGTATATAAAAAAGACAGCCTCCAATAATCTGTTATGTTGGACAAGTCATTATCCTACACCATTGAAATCAGGGATTCCGATTGGCCAATACCTGAGACTTCGTCGAAATTGTTCGACTTTAGATGAGTTCAAATTAAAAGCTTATGAATTACGACAAATGTTTAAAACTAAGGGATACCCGAATAGGGTCTTGAAGAGGGCTTTTTTGAGGGCAATCCACACAGACCGTGAAACTTTAATTACTGATGACATTTGTAAGGTTGAAGAAAGTAAAATACGCTGCATTGGTACATATGATGCAGGATGGGACATTATGCAAAATGTTTTTCAAAAATTCTGGCCTATTTTACAATCTGATAGACATCTTAAGGAAATATTGCCACCTTTCCCTTTGATTACAGCATGGAGGTGTAAGAATTTGAGAGACTTTCTAGCACCTAGCTATCTCTCGACTACGCCTGCATCTGGATATTTTCATAAATATCTACCAATAGGCACATTTCAATGCGGCCATTGTAGTGCCTGCCCATTTATCAATAGACACTCCTAGATGTTTTCTGATAGTGGGGATACAGAGAAATTCAAACCCCACTCCTTTTTCAATTGTCATACAACTGGAGTAATTTATCTATTGACCTGCTTTTGTGGTTTAAAATATGTGGGTAAGACTTTTCGTCATTTTAGACTCAGGATACGTGAGCATGTGAATTCTGTCAGGAGACATCTGGAGACACCTGTCTCTAGACATTTACATTTACATCATAATCACTCCTCAGCAGGTATCCGTTTTATGGGTCTGGAACATATACCACCACCACCGCGAAAAGGAAATTGGTATTTGAAACTACGACAAAGAGAGGCTTTTTGGATTTATCACCTCAAAACTCTGTCTCCAGTCTCCACTTGGGCTGAATGAAGGCTTTTCTTACTCATTTCATACCCATTTATTTAATAGAAAGGCAATAGTTTTAAGGTATCTCTTGTCAAGTTTGTACATATGTATATATATTCTTTATTAGTTTTTATTTATTTTTCGCTATCTCTTTTTTATACCCATTTATTATCTTTACCCTCATACTATTTAAGGTGTCTTATATTAAGTGCCATAGACTATGGTTGGACATGTGCTGTTAAAATAAAGCGTTCACACATAGATATATTGGCAACATTATAATATACTTTAGTGGCAACATAGTATCCTTATTAGACATCGTTATTCATTTGCTCCATAGACTATGCTTGAATATGCGCTATTTAAATAAAGCGCTTAAACATAGATACATTGGCAATATTTTAATCTATTTCAGTGGTAACAAAATATCTTGATTAGACATTGCCAATCATTTATTCCTTTGATTCATTTAAATTTAGCAATCTATTCTTTGGATCATTAAGGGGCTTTTATTTGGCTATATTATATTAGTTTAATCTTAGTTACCACTGATTATCAATAGACATCTCATATGGATGACAATTGCGGTATATGAGGGGTTAAAAATTCCCTGGACTGGCCAATTTGATAATCCCGGCCACTCACGATTTCATTTTGTGGGTTGTGACATGTATACCACGCCCCCACAATATTATTGGTGTAGCGACCGGAGTGATTGGGATGTTGGCATCTATGTCCCGCCCCTCTAATATCATTGGTGCCGTGATTCAATTGCAGAATACATTCATTGGCCGATATTCAGTTGTGTGTAAATTAACATGGGTATAAATTACATTGCAGGGATAGCCTCGGTTGCAATACCCCTGAGGACGGCGTGTAGTCTCGCCGAAACGCGTGTTGGGTTTATTTACTTTTTGTTTATTTAGCACCACGAGCACTTTGCACAATGTTACTTTGGCTATAGATGTCTAGGTCTAGACACTAGATTAGAACACCCATGAAGGTGTTATTTAGGAGATAGTGGGTTAGTTTAGAGAGATGGTTCAATTGTAGGATTTGTTTGATTTGGGAAGGGGGGTTTTTGATTTTGGGTTTAGTATTTTCATTGGTACCCTTTACGCAATAATTGGGGCATTTTTACCCCTTTTTGGGTTACTAAATACTATACACTATATACTATATATGCATTCAAGTTTTTCCCCCTTTCCTCTCTCTTCTACTCAGGTTCTCTATGCTCTTATTCCCTGAGGTATACGTAACATAGTTTAGTTTACTGCCCTCTTTTTTGGCAGTTTTTCAGGCTTTTCAATATGTTATACCTCTCCCTGTATCAGACCTTAGATATCTCTGTTTAGTCTTAGGTTTTACTATATTCTAATAAAGTTTTATTTTTTTGGTACTATTTATACTTATTTTTGAGATTGGACTGGGTTCCTTTCCTATTGGCTGCCTTCTAGTAAGGCAGCTTTTTGAAATTATATATTTCTTTAATATTCCCCCACCAGCCATCCCCTGTCACAGCATACATGTATCTTTAGGTGAGTGAGGTTAACACTCATGGGTGCTTCCTCGTACATTTGCCCAGTCCTCTTCTTTGTTATAGTTTGTTCTGGGAGTTTGGTTGCATTTGGGCTGGTGGCAGGTTTTGTAGTGCCTTTGCGTGTGCTTATCCTCATCTCTTTTCAACATGCGTGTTGAACTCATGGGAGAACTAGTCTAGCAGAACTATTCACCCCTCTTACTAAATCGAGCCCAAGCACTGAATGTAAATCATTACCAGTGTATTGCTTGCAAAGTGTCAAATTTCTAAGCCGTGTGTCATACTTTGCATTCATATTCTAATTTGGCGAGACTAGAATTGTGTAATTCCTTTCACTCACAGAGAATGCCTGCTACATTCTGCCTACTTTCCGTCTTCCAACAGGCTCTTGTTTCAAGGATATGATGGGAAAAATAACAGCCATGAGTTTTTACTGCATGACTGATATATTATTTATTTTTTTCACTTCACAGTGAATCACATAATTAATAACACAGTCTGCTTTGATCTGTGCTTCAGAAGCATATATGTATTACTGACAATGTCTAAAACAGTCTTATCAGGTCAAAGCACAGGGTTATTAGACGTGTATCGTTACATGGTTAGATCATCCTAGTTTCTAGGGAAAGAAACTGTAGTTCATCTGGCTTGCACAGAGATATCAGTATCAGGCATGGTAAATCTAGTTATAATGGGGATTATCTACATCCCAGCTGCCTCGGATTATAACTTCCATGAGTCTCAGCTAGATAACAAGCTTGCTGAGCATCTTGGGAGTCATATTTTTCCCAGTGTCTAGCTTGTTAAATTGTTACAGGCAATAAGAACCAATTACAGTTAGACAGAGAGGGGGCAGTTTTGCACAATGACCTTTGCAAGCAGCATAGGCTGTTATGGTGCTGAGCTACAAGTCCAGCTTTCATGTAACCCATATCCAGTACCAGCCAGATATGTTTCTGCTTATTAAGTAGTGGTGAATCCTATTTTTTTATTTTGTCTCAGGCTTGCCCATATTGTTCTGGGCTGGTCATTGATCCAGATGGAGAAGCTACATGGTCATTCCCTAGATCCCAGACACCTAATTTAGCTACAGCCTCTTTATTTTTACAGAACATTGAAGCCCACATGGTTGACATAAAGTGACCAAAGACTCTGTTTATGCTTCTTTTGCCAAGTCTTGATTTCTGTATTCGGTTCCAGTTCATCTGGGACCTGGATTTCATGCAGAAGGAATGTGGAGAAAACCACATGCACTCGGCCTCTGCAATCTAGCTATAAATGGTTGCTGAAATCACCTGAAGCACTTTGACTAGTATACCTGGTATATTTTCACAAACCTGTTCCTGTTGTTTGGGAACCCTCAACTCCAGTTGAGGCATCATTGTGGAAAATGTTTGCCTTGTCGCCAGATTCTGTTAGCGCATCCCCCTGTACCCTGGGTTCCAATTCTCCAAGTCCTCATGGCTGTGACATCTCCACAATTTTCTGTCTGTAGTGATTGAGTGGTTGTGTTGTTGATTTTGAGCAACTATTAGCACATGGGTCCGCAAACTCAGGCCCTCAAGATGTTGCTGAATTTCAACTCCCATGATTCTCTGGCTATCTATGTAATTCAAAGAATC